GTTGGGACCTCCAAGGTTTGGGACCTCCAAGGGTTGGGACCTCCAGGGATTGGGACCTCCAAGAACTCAAAGAGTTGGGACCTCCAAGGTTTGGGACCTCCAAGATTTGGGACCTCCAGGGGTTGGGATCTCCAAGAGTTGGGGCCTCCAAGGGTTGGGACCTCCAAGATTTGGGACATCCAAGAGCTGGGGTCTCCAAGATTTGGGACCTCCAAGGGTTGGGATCTCAAAGATTTGGGACCTACAAGGGTTGGAACATCCAGGGATTGGGATCTCCAAGATTTGGGACCTCCAAGAGTTGGGACCTCCAGGGGTTGGGACGTCCAAGGTTTGGGACCTCCAAGAGTTGGGGCCTCCAAGATTTGGGACCTCCAGGGGTTGGGATCTCCAAGAGTTGGGACCTCAAAGATTTGGGACCTCAAAGAGTTGGGACCTCCAAGAGTTGATCCAAGAGTTGGGACGGACCTCCAAGAGTTGGGACCTCCAAGGGTTGGGACCTCCAAGGTTTGGGACCTCCAAGATTTGGGATCTCCAAGGTTTGGGAGCTCCAGGAGTTGGGATCTCCAAGAGTTGGGACCTCCAGGGTTTGGGACCTCCAAGGGTTGGGACCTCTAAGATTTGGGACCTCCAAGAGTTGGGACCTCCAAGATTTGGGACCTCCAAGACTTGGGACCTCCAGGGTTTGGGACCTCCAAGGGTTGGGACGTCAAGGGTCTTGACCCTCTCCATGAAGACCAACCCTTGAGGGTCTCCTTTGAATATGGAGAAGCTCCAATGGCCACGTCTCCATCACCTCCATGAGGACCAACCCTTGAGGACCAAGCCTCGAGGGTCTCCTCTGAAGGTGGACAAGCTCCAATGGCCACATCTCCATCACCTCCTTGAGGACCAGCCCTCGAGGGTCTCATCTGAAGGTGGAGAAGCTCCAATGGCCACGCCTCCATCACCTCCTTGAGGACCAACCCTTGAGGCCACATCTCCATCACCTCCTCGAGGGTTGGTCCTCTGAAGGTGGAGAAGCCCCAATGGCCACATCGTGAGGTTCTCCTTGAAGACCAACCCTTGAGGCCAGGGCTTCATCCCCTCCTTGAGGACCAACCCTTGAGGCCACATCTCCATCACCTCCTCGAGGGTTGGTCCTCTGAAGGTGGAGAAGCCCCAATGGCCACATCTTGAGGTTCTCCTTGAAGACCAACACTTGAGGCCAGGGCTTCATCACCTCCTTGAGGACCAACCCTCGAGGGTCTCATCTGAAGGTGGAGAAGCTCCAATGGCCACGCCTCCATCACCTCCTTGAGGACCAACCCTTGAGGCCAGGACTTTGAGGGTCTCCCCTGGAGTTGGAGAGGCTGCAGTGGCCACATCTCCATCACCTCCTTGAGGAAAAACCCTTGAGGACCAAGCCTTGAGGGTCCCCTCTGAAGGTGGACAAGCTCCAATGCCCACGTCTCCATCACCTCCTTGAGGACCAACCCTCAAGGCCCAACCCTCGAGGACCAACCCTTGAGGCCACATCTCCATCACCTCCTTGAGGAAAAACCCTCGAGGACCAAGCCTTGAGGGTCTCCTCTGAAGGTGGAGAAGCTTCAATGGCAACGTCTCCATCACCTCCTTGAGGACCAACCCTCAAGGCCCAACCCTCGAGGACCAACCCTTGAGGCCACATCTCCATCACCTCCTCGAGGACCAACCCCTGAGGGTCTCCTCTGGAGATGGAGAAGCTCCAATGGCCATGTCTTGAGGTTCTCCATGAAGACCAACACTTGAGGCCAGGGCTTCATCACCTCCTTGAGGACCAACCCTTGAGGCCACATCTCCATCACCTCCTTGAGGAACAACCCACGAGGACCAACCCTTGAGGACCAACCCTTGAGGCCACATCTCCATCACCTCCTTGAGGAACAACCCACGAGGACCAACCCTTGAGGACCAACCCTTGAGGCCACATCTCCATCACCTCCTTGAGGAACAACCCACGAGGACCAACCCTTGAGGACCAACCCTTGAGGCCACATCTCCATCACTTCCTTGAGGAACAACCCTCGAGGACCAACCCTTGAGGGTCCCCTCTGAAGGAGGACAAGCTCCAATGGCCACATCTCCATCACCCTCTTGAGGTCCAATCCTCAAGGACCAACCCTTGAGGCCACATCTCCATCACCTCCTTGAGGAACAACCCTTGAGGACCAACCCCTGAGGGTCTCCTCTGAAGATGGAGAAGCTCCAATGGCCAAGTCTTGAGGTTCTCCATGAAGACCAACACTTGAGGCCAGGGCTTCATCATCTCCTTGAGGACCAACCCTTGAGGACAGGACTTTGAGGTCTCCCCTGGAGTTGGAGAGGCTGCAGTGGCCACATCTCCATCACCTCCTCGAGGAAGAACCCTCGAGGGTCTCCTCTGAAGGTGGAGAAGCTCCAATGGCCAAGTCTTGAGGTTCTCCATGAAGACCAACACTTGAGGCCAGGGCTTCATCATCTCCTTGAGGACCAACCCTTGAGGCCACATCTCCATCACCTCCTCGAGGAAGAACCCTCGAGGGTCTCCTCTGAAGGTGGAGAAGCTCCAATGGCCACATCTCCATCACCTCCTTGAGGCCCAACCCTTGAGGCCCAACCCTTGAGGCCCCACTCTCAAGACCCCACTCTCGAGGCTCCCCTCTGCTGCTGGACCCCCTCTCCACCTCCGTCTCCAGCTCCCACCGCTGATTTCCCACCCTTCCCGCAGGGACATGCAGCTGCTGATCGGGACCGACACCTTACGGGACGGGACAGGCCAAGTGAGGCGGGTGGCGAGCGTCCACGTCCACCCGGCCTACAACCCCCGCCGCAACGACAACGACTTCATGCTCCTGCGCCTCAACCGGCCCGTGGAGTTCGGCAACAACGTCAAGAGGATCCGGCTGCCCTCCCGCTGCCCCGCCGAGGGGATGAGGTGCAGCGTCTCGGGCTGGGGCACCACCAAGTCCCCCGGAGGTACTGGGGTACGGGGCAGGGACCCTGGGTGGGCGGATGGCGGTGGGGAAGGGGAAATTTGGGGGTTCTGTTGTGGTGGCTCCAACCTCAATGGGTCCATCTCCATCATCCATGTCCCAAATTCCCCCACCACAAGTGTCACGAGGTCTCCTCAGTCCTCAGCCTTAAGACTCCACTTCCAACCTCTCCTCCTCATGGACCACAACCCCCAGTTGGGTTCTCCATGAGGATTGGGGTCTCCTTTCCATTGACTCCACCTTTGAAGGCTCCATCTCCATCATCTGTGGCCTAAATTCCCCCACCACAAGTGTCACGAGGTCTCCTCAGTCCTCAGCCTCAAGAGGCCACTTCCAACCTCCTCCTCCTCATGGACAACGACCTCCAGTTGGGTTCTCCATGAGGACTGGGATCTCCTTCCCATCTACTCCAACTTTAATGGCTCCATCTCCATCATCCACGTCCCAAATTCCCCCACCACAAGTGTCACGAGGTCTCCTCAGGTCTCAGCCTCAGGAGGCCACTTCCAATCTCTCCTCCTCATGGACAATGACCCCCAGTTGGGTTCTCCATGAGGATTGAGGTCTCCTTTCCCTTGACCAACCCATCCATGGTGGCTCCATCTCTATCATCTCCTTTTCCACAAGTGTCACGAGGTCTCCTCAGGTCTCAGCCTCAGGACACCACTTCCAACCTCCTCCTCCTCATGGACCACAACCCCCAGTTGGCTTCTCCATGAAGATTGGGATCTCCTTTCCATTTACTCCAACTTTAATGGGTCCACCTCCATCATCCCTGTCCCAAATCCCCCCCACCACAAGTGTCACGAGGTCTCCTCAGTCCTCAGCCTCAAGAGGCCACTTCCAACCTCTCCTCCTCATGGACCACAACCCCCAGTTGGGTTCTCCATGAGGATCTGGGTCTCCTTTCCCTTGACCAACCCATCCATGGTGGATCCACCTCCATCATCTCCTTTTCCACAAGTGTCACGAGGTCTCCTCAGTCCTCAGCCTTAGGACTCCACTTCCAACCTCCTCCTCCTCATGGACAACGACCTCCAGTTGTGTTCTCCATGAGGATTTGGGTTCTCCATGAGGTCTGGGGTCTCCTTTCCCTTGACCAACCCATCCATGATGGACCCATCTCCATCATCCGTGTCCCAAATCCCCCCACCACAAGTGTCACGAGGTCTCCTCAGGCCTCAGCCTCAGGAGGCCACTTCCAATCTCTCCTCCTCATGGACAATGACCCCCAGTTGGGTTCTCCATGAGGATTGAGGTCTCCTTTCCCTTGACCAACCCATCCATGGTGGCTCCATCTCTATCATCTCCTTTTCCACAAGTGTCACGAGGTCTCCTCAGTCCTCAGCCTCAAGAGGTCACTTCCAACCCTCTCCTCCTCTCTTCCCATCATGCTTTGCAGCCCGGCTACCCCGCAACCTGCAGTGCGCCGCCATCCAGACCTTCGGGCCGCAGCGGTGCCGGAGGGCGTACGGCAACGCCATCACCCCCAACATGTTCTGTGCTGGCGTCCCCCAGGGGGGCATCGATTCCTGCCAGGTACGGGGGGGTCAGGTCCCGTCGGTCACCTCCTGGGGGGGGGAAGAGAGGGGTTTTGGGGGGCTCTGGGGGGCTTGGAGGGGACGGGAACCCCACCTTGATCCCCTTGATTTGGGGAAGGTCCATGGCCATGGGTGTCCCC